TTAAATTTTCTATGATTTTAGTGGATGTGTGGGTTGTGTAAAGAATAGAAGTTTGGAATGAGAAATTAGAAAGCTGAGTTCAAATTCCAGTTGGCTTTGCTAGACATTTACAAGCAAATATCCTTGGGTCGTGTTGTGGTACGATACACCTAATTTACATAAGTGGAGTACCGACCATATAAATATGGGTTGGTACCGGAAGACGGGAAAATAGTAGGAAGAAGAGATCGAATCGAGAGACTCTGCCCGACTGCGATTTAGTCAACCCATTATGCAGGAACAGTCTTCCCAAGAATATACCAAAACTAACTGTAAATATTGTGTACCTTTTCCTTGTTTCAATACATTTTGTTTACGTACATTTTGTGTTGTATTATTATTATTCCATGCTTATCCAAGTTTCAACAGGTCGATAAGCCATAAAAAACATATCAATCAATTCTATATCTCTATATCTTAGTCATCCATGATTCACCTTTACACTCAGTGATTTTATAGCCTGTATTTCAAAAAATATGTCGACATGTTGATGAGAAAAAAAAACATGTAAAGAATAGCAACTCAGAATGAGAAATGAGACCCAAGTTCAAATTTCAGTCAGGTTTGTTAGTCACTGCCATACAAATATACTTTGGAAAGGTATGAATCCACCACTTTTCTGCCAGCTATGTGTGAAATAGTAAGATTTGTATTTGGAAAAATCATTGTTATTCTAAAAAAATTATATTCGCTCAGAAAAATAGAGAGTTATACTGACAATCCAAAATATTTTTCAGGTTAAAATAACCTACAAAAGGGTCGATAAGCCATAAAAAAACATATCAATCAATTCTCTGTCTCTATATTTTAGTCATCCATGCTTCACTTTTACATTTTATGAGTTTGTATTTCAAAAAATATGTCAACATCCTGATTAGAAAAATAACATGTACTTGAAGCAAAGAGATTTTGTAACATAATCTGTCGTGTTAATGCACTTAATGCAGCAAATTTTAATCATGCAAACTGAACTGCATACAGAGAAAATTTAAAAAAAAATTCAGCTATGACATGTCAGATTGCAGACATACTGATGTACCTTATAAAAGATGGAATGTGTGAAAACAAGTTGGATGTTTAAAATTCTGTACTGTTGCCAACATTTAGTTTAGCAAGAACACTATAAGAACAACTGAAAAAAAAGGAGAAATAATTATCATATCAAACTTTGTGATTCAAATCTGAATTTCCCTTTGCTTGGCCTTTGATGTACTCTGTAACCAAGCATATCAGAGAGCACATATTTCTCTAATAAGACTTCTTAAATATCCAGGCCAGTAGATATAAATAAATACTCTTTAATAAATAGTCTATTCAAATACAAGTATCTACTAAAAATAATTTAAGTAATATATATTTTTACACACTCACATGGTCATGTGTGACATCACGAGCTGCGATGCGATTTTCACTTTCACATCTCGTATACATGAGTTTGTCGTTGCTTTGCATTATTGTTTTGTCCGTGTATTGTTTGATATATTGAAATGTAATTGTCATCTTTGCTAATGGCTTATGCAAGCCGAAAGCTTAGATTGGATTTAAACATGTATCAATATGGTGATTTCCTTCAACATCTTTCAATGATAATGTTATTGCTTATCACACAATATGAAAGGAACTTACTGAAAATAAATAGACAAAAACTTGTCTTTATTATTTAATGAAACATGCATCAATGAAAAATTGCTGCCTAAATACACACAATTTAAATATATATATATATATATATATATATATATATATATATATATATATATATATAGACAGAAGGAAGATGTTATCTTAGCCAACTTGGTTTTGTCCTCTGAGAACTTTATCAAGGCAAATGTAAAGTTTTTTATTTTTTACAAGTATTTTTTATATAGATTATATATATATATATATATATATATATATATATATATATATATATATATAGCTAATATTTCTAAAAGAACAAATGTAATCCTCCTCAAGTCTAATGCACTTTTCCTTCCTTCTCTGCCATGCTTCTACTCACTCCTGGAAGAATTCTTCTTGGATGTCCCTCAGTTCCATCATTACAATCCTCTTGATGGCCTCCAGACCTTCAAAACAGGCCCCCTTGTTTGATCCCCTTGAAATGAGGTAAAAGAAAAAAGTCACACGAAGCAATATCAGCTGAATAAGGAGGTTGTTCCAGTATGGCGATGTTCTTCTCAGTCAAGAAGTGCCAGATACTCAGGGTGTTGTGAGAAGGTGCATTGACATGGTGAAGCAGTCATAATGTGTCCTGCCACAACTCTCATCTCTTGTCACACACTGAGTAAAGCAAAAATCACAGGATCTCCTTATAGACTTGCTGGTTGATTGTTTGGCCCTGTGGCAAAAACTCGCTGTGAACAATGCATCTTACATCAAAGAACGGATAAGTCTCGTTACTTTTCATACATACCTTGTACATATGAGAGGCATTATAAAATTTGAGGAAAAACATCTTATATGAAAATTATGCAAATATTCTGTTATTTGTTTACAGTAGTTATGCGTTGTAAACTGGAAGTATTTGGAAACAACAGATTGCAATTTACGCAAGTTTAAAAACAGCCTTCCTTAGAGGAACATGAATCCTGTCAACAGCTAGCATCAAATTCATGATAAAACTTAAAATTGAGGACATTATTGATATTTTGAAAAAATTTTATGGATTTAACCTCCACACAAACACACACCAAATCAGCAATTTACAAATCAATAAAATGTTTTAACAAAGAGCGATACAAAGTTGAACATGATGAGCAAATCAGCAGACCATCAACTTCAGTTTGTTACGAAAACAATCAATGCAGTTTAAGATTTAATTAAGGGTAATTGATGATCAACAGAGAAAATAATAGTAAGCATCCTAGAGATAAGAAGTTGTGTAAACTTTCTGTTCATTGGGTACAAAAGCTGTTGTGCCCAGATCAGATCAGTCTAGATTCAATTGAAATTTTAAACAAATGGAATCAAACTTCTGAAGGCTTTTTAGGTGAAGAGTATCTGGAGATGGAACTTGGTGTTATTAGTATGATCCTGGAGACAAAGCTTAGTCAACACAACTGTTGCCAAAAGGCAGAAAGGATCCAATCAAAGAAAAAAACAATCCAGTCATTTGGAAAGGTTATAGCAATAGTTTTTTGGAATGTTGAGTGTACTTAGACTTTATGAATTTAAGCATAGTGTTATGAATAATCAACAGTGGTCTTCCCTTGTTTGGTTACTCTCCACTTTGAGAGAGCTATTTCTGTTTACTGAGACTATAAAAGGACACTATATGCGAACCTTGTATTTTCAGTTGAATAAAGCTTTCACCTGTGTACTTTTGTCATTACACATAGTACTAGATTGGTGGCAAGATCTCATCATTTTACAGTCAAATTAGTTAGATGCAACCATCAGTTTCATGCTAACAGTTTCTTTTCTTGCACTTCTCACTCGTGGAACTCTCTTCCAGCTTTTTGTTCTCCAGTCAAGTTTGATCTTCATAAATTTAAATGCAATGTTAATCGCTGTCTTCTGTCATTTTGGTTCCTGTTCTTTTATTGTCACTTATCTCATATTCTCTAACGCTCAGTAATCCCTTGTGTATTAGTAATTTTGTTGCCTTGCATGGGGTGAAATGACTAAAAAAAAGTTGCTAGTTGATTTTTTTAGAAGAGAAAACGTAAGTAACATCTGCTTATTACAAATGTGTTTTGAGAAATTTAGGTAAAGATTTAGCAAAGGAATCCTTCATCAGAGAATTCTTTTCCATCCGTTCCTTTCATCAGATGAGGGAATACTGCAAGAATCTTGATGGCAAATCAATTGACATCTGCCTTACAATCTTAATTTGGCACCTGAATTTTCCTTATTTCCTAGGCCTGGGTATGACAATAATAAACTACGAGGGACAGCAAGTCCTCTGATCGAGAGATTGGTGGTTTTGAGGAGCATGGAACCACCTCTTAATTACTCTTCTTCCCAGGTCCACCCTAACCTGGGGTGGTAGCACCTGCTAGGGTCCCAGCTCTGGGCAAATCGTGAACACCCCAAACAAAACATTGTGAATGTATAAAAATATATTATATATATTACTATATATATAATAGTAAAAATACTATATAATTACTATATATATTATAGTAAAAATACCAGCAATAAAATTTTATATAAAAGAAAATTACCAATGATACATATTTATAGAATGACCAACAATGCTTTTTATCTGTAGTTGAAAGCATACAACTGTATTCAAAATGTATTAAGTTGAAGCCATAAAATTGTGTTAAAAATATTTAAGTTTCAGCATTGAATAACCCATAGAGGTTGATATGCAGCTAACAATCAGCCGACCAACATGAAAGAATACTTTCAAGTCATTAATCCATATAATATCCTACAATTTCTCAAAGAAATCAAACTGTATTCCAAAATATAACTTCAACAAAACAACAACATGAAAGACATATATTACCACCTCTAGTAATTATGTTCACACAAACACGTATATGAACAAAAGTTGAGTATTGTCTACCATGTATTCAATTGTGAAAGCAGAATAATATATATCATATTTTTATTACTTCAAAACTCTCCAAAAATAAAATTTCAGCCTTCAGTGACCCATAAAGGTATTGATATGCCCATAAATCAAATTAATCAACATTATTTCCTAACCTCAAAAATGTTTTAAAAGGTACCCATTTTGAGATCATTATCTAAAAAAAAGCAAAAGTTTTTCATGGATTTTTATATATGTTCAGGTAGGTATCATTGCTTCAAGTAATGCACTGACATTAATGGAACTTATTTGTAGAAATTATGCTTTTGCTTAAAAATGTTTGCATTTAATTTTTCCAGAAACATTTTGAATGTCCCCTCAAAAAATTTACCTGTATAGGTGACAAGTATGTTTTTTATTTCTTTCCATACTTAATCTTTCCCCATTTTCTTTTGATTTTACAGGTCAAGGTCCTATGTCAGGGTCAAGGTCCTCTGTGACCACACCTGACTCTTGCCCGTCTGACGACTATTACGACTGGACTTGGGCTGCAGTGAAGGGGTCCCCTGGACCCACCCGAAAGGCCGCTGCTACCCAGACCCCGCAGCGCTCTCAGATGGTACGTAAGCACAGTACGGACTCCCTGCTCGCATACAGGACATATCAAATGGATGACCCACTTGCCGTTGCTGCCGCAGCGGCTGGACAGAAGGGCGGAAGCACACTGCCATCGGTAGTCAAAAGTGGCAAGCCGGTCTGCACAGCTGGTGCCTCTTCGACACTGGGTAGCCCTGTTGACCGGGCTAAGCGGTTCGATGCCAATGGCAGAGCGGTGACTCGCCCAGCGTCACGTTTCAGGGATTTACAATTGTATAAAAAGCCGTTGCAAATACACTATGGTGATTATGAATCTTACAGAAGTGATATGAAAAAGAAGGTTGAGGTGCAAAAGGTCACTGGCCTTGACGGTATGCTTGGAATACATGTGCTCTCTGGCCAGGGTTTGAAATCTTCTAGGACGACCCTAAGGGACTTATACTACGTGGTTGCTGTGGACTCAATCAACAAAGCGAGGACAATGATAAGAACAGGAGCAGTGAACTTTGACTGGGATGAAGCGTTTGATGTTGAATTGGAAGATGCTAAGGAGGTTTCCTTTTTGATTTACAACTGGGATCCAAACTTTAAACATCGACTCTGTTTTCATGGATCTATAGTTTTACCAAATTATATTGTTAGTGGAGAAACAAAACACATAGCACTCAAGGTGGAGCCGAAGGGGGTTCTTTATGTAGAATTGCTTTACAAGAAGCCAGCTGTATCCTTACAGCGACTGCCATCGACAAAGAAGTCTGCCTTATTTGGAACTGACTTGGAAGTTGTCATTAAACGTGAAAATTCTGGATCTAACGTTCCGTTGATCGTGAAAAAATGCATTGAGGAGATTGAAAACCGGGGACTTGAAGTCGTTGGCATTTATAGACTTTGTGGTTCAGCCAGACGAAAAACACAGCTACGAGAGCTGTTTGAGAAAAATTCTCTTGATGTGAATTTATCAGTGGAGTTTGTCACTGACATACACACAATTACAGGTAGGTCAATATATCTATATATTTATATATACATATATCACACTGAATTCTTCTTGCTTTTCAGATATACACTGACCTGTAGAAATTCCAATATTTTTCAATTTTCTTATTTTATATATCCCTTATTTCTAGAAAAAATGTGCATATATGCCTTGAATATTTATTAATACAAGGTCCATAAGATGTATACAAGTTTTATGATTCAAATTACACAAATATAGAATGTTATATTGAAGTTATTTCAAGTGTTGAAACTGATATCTATTTTGATTCATACACTGTTGAAAATGCAGGATTCAAGAATTGTGTCATGTCCTAAAACCCATTAGGATCACAGGGGTATCACATGTACTGCAGCCATAGCAACAGTAGTGTGTCTGTGGCAAGATAGCCTGGTGAAACCCATCTCTCTTAAGGCTGATTTTTTGAATCCTTCTCCTAGACTGGTTGCCAAAGAGAGCTCAGTCATCCCTTCTATTTAACTTGTAGAAGAGATGGATTCATACCTTTCACAAAGGTATTTATGTGAAAGTGAATGCAACTTGGCTGTGATTCTCATTTCTAGTCACAAGCCATTATACCACACACACATTAGCTAAAATTGCATGTACCATTTGGATGTATCTTCTTTCCATAACAACCTTCATAACATGCCTCATATAAGACTTTTTCATAATATGCCTCACATGAGACTTGATCCTAACATGCTTTAGATGACACCTGATCATAATATACCTCACATGAGACCTGATCGTAACATGCCTTAGATTACACCTGATGATAACATGCCTTACATGAGACTTTTTCATAACGTGCCTCAGATTAAACCTTTTCATAACGTACCTTACATTAGACCACTTCATAATATGCCTCACATGAGACCTGGTCATGACATGCCTTACATGAGACACTTTCATAACATGCCTCACATGAGGCACTTTCATAACATGCCTCACATGAAACACTTTCATAACATGCCTCACATGAGACCTGATCATAACATACCTCACATGAAACTTTTTTATAACATGCCTCATATGAGTCCTGATCATAGCGTTCCACACATGAGACCTGATCATAGTATGCCTATCACAAGACCTTGTCATAATATTCCTGACATGAAACCTGATCATAATATAACACGCAGTCATTTTAATATTCTGATTGAGAAGATGAAACAAAAGAAAAATAATACAAGTATTAATCATCTAAGCTATTGCCATAGAAATTATTATTTAAAATGACCTTTATTACAGCACTCTTACTAAATAAAGTTACCTATTTAGTCACATCTATTTTTGTAAGCAACATATTTGAAGGGGGAAATAAATGTTACTAAAAATAAATGAAGCAAAAATTAATAAATAATTTATCACTGAAAAATATTTTTTTAAATCATACTATTTCTTACAGGAATCAGTTTTCTCTTTCTAGCGAACAATTAAGAGCTAATTTCCATGGAATGATGTAATTCATTCTAAAGCCAATGATAAAGTTGAATTAATTAAATTTCTCTAATTAAATCTTGTTAAAATAAATCCACTGGATTAAAAGAGAAAAAAAAAAAAATCTCTTGCATTCCTAGCAAGGAAGAAAATTTTTTATCTCATTTTCAAAAAATTTTATTTTATTTATGAGAATCTCTCTTTGGAAGTTGTTAATGACAAGCTAAACAAAACCAATTTCCCTGTTCAATGACAAATGGTTTTAAATCCTACCTATTTCCCTTTGAAAATATATGCAAGCCACGTTTGTTGTAAATTTGCTTTGCCATTTTTTCACCAGCAGTCAACTCACATCTCTGCAAACATTCTGTACGTTTTAAATAAGCAAATAGATTTCTTCTGTTCACTACAGAAAAATGTACTTCAGCATCATGCAGGCGACTGATTCCAAGGCCAACTATTATGGTTAATGCTATTCTATTCAGCAGATAACATTAATTACACACCTGCACTCATCATCCAAAGATTTAATACTTTTTGATTAGTATTTTCTTCTTTCGTAATTGTTTTCTTCTTTCATTTCTTGTGTAGTCCGTCTTCCTCTCATTTTTCTTTATGATTTTCCGTCTTCTTGGCATTTGTTTTTTCATGTTTTTTTATTCATTTCTTAATTTTAAATGTTTTTTCTTTTATTTCATACATTCAAGTTCTCTATTGTAATTCTCTTTTTTTCCTTATTCTTTGTCTCCCATTTTCCTTATTTTCTCTCCGCTTTCCTTTTACCCTATTCTTTCTCCTCTTTCCTTTTACCCTATTCTTTCTCCTCTTTCCTTTTACCCTATTCTTTCTCCTCTTTCCTTTTACCCTATTCTTTCTCCTCTTTCCTTTTACCCTATTCTTTCTCCTCTTTCTTTTTTCCTTATTTTTATCCTCTTTCTTTTTCCCTATTCTTTCTGCTCTGTTTTTATCCCCTATTCTTTCTTCCCTATTTTTTCTTTTTCATTTCCTATTCTTTCTCCATTCTTTATTTCTTATTCTTTCTCCTCTTTCTTTATTTCTCATTCTTTCTTTTTCCTCATTCATATTCTTCTTTCTTCTCTCTTTTTTCCTTATTCTTTCTTCTCTTTTTCATATTTTTCTACTCTTTCTTTTATCCCCTATTCTTTATTCTTTCATTTTCCATATTTTTCCCCTTCTTTTTTTTCTTTTTTTTATCCTTCTTTTCTTTATTCTTTCATTTTCCACTATTCTTTTTCCCCCTTCTTTTTCCTTATTCTTTTTCCCCCTTCTTTTTCCTTACTCTTTCTCCTCCTCCTTTTTCCTTACTCTTTCACCTCTTTCATTTTTCCTAATTTTTCCTTTCTTTTTTCTTTATTTTTCCTCACTTTCTTTTTTAATTTTTTCTTCTTTCTTTTGCCTGTTTTTTCTGCTCTTTCTTTTTCCCCTATTTTTTCTCAGCTTTCTTTTTTCTTTGTTTTTTCCTATTTCTTCCTATTTCTTTTTTCCTATTCTTTCTCCTTTTTCTTTTTCCTTATTATTTCTCCTCTTTCTTTACCCTGCTCTTATTCTTCATTCTTTCTTCCCCATTTTTTGTCTCTTTCTTTTTTCCTCGTTCTTTCTCCCTTTTTTTATTTTTTCCTCTCAATCAGTTTTCCCTCCTTACTTTTCTTTTTCTTTTTTCCCTCCTTACTTTTCTTTTTCTTTTTTCCCTCAGACCTTTTAAAGTTTTTCCTTTTTTCATCAATTTTTTCTTCATTTATTTTATTTTATAGCTCCAATCCTTTCTTTTTATTACCTATTCATCCTTTTCTGCTTGACCCCCCCCCACACACACACAACATTGTAATAATTTGCAAATTTAAATTCTTCTTAAATTCATTCCTCATTCATGATTGAAAATGATTTCTTGTTTCAAATTATTTCTAAAATCTAGTGTCCTATGACTTAAAAATAAAAAAGGTTAGCCACTACGGAAAATAGAGTCACTCGCTCAAATACAATAAAGGTATGGTTCTCCATAGATCATAACCACTTCCATGCTTCTCCTGGTAGCTGCTAGCAGTAAACTGTCTACCTCTTCAAGTGTGTCCTTAGATACAAGTCAATCTCATGAACATTCATCCACTGAGGGTATTATAAAGCTTGCGTATATGTATTTTCTGCATTGCAAACAGCCATTTACACAAAAAGCACACAAATCTTCATGCTCATTTAGCTTCCGGTAATTTGTCACAATTCAAATAAAATATCACAAGAATGAAGATTTTCTAAAATATGACCAGATCAGATTATTTTTGAATAAATAACCTCATCCCCTTTGTTGGTTCTCTTTCCTCTGTTTTCTCATTTCATTCAGTCATTTCCTTTTGGAAATAGCAATTCCTTCTGAAAGTCTGTTATGACGGAAGCAAGATTGTCTAATCAGGTGTCAAAGAGTTTACTCAACAAGCCTGGTATGATTATTTCTCAAAAATATTCAGGCTAATATCCTCATCTTTGTTGGGGCATCTCTAAATTTCAACTGATGCATTTGTAAAAGCAGCCTTGCCGTTAGCAAGAAAAACAGGGAAAGTGACAAAACAATAATTGGAGATAAGACATAGTTGAGATAAGTAAATAGGTTTTTATTTTATGTCATTTACATGGTTTCTCTTTTTTGCACATTAAAGGTATTCTATATCAGTCATGGAAGATTGAGAGTTCATTCGGGGTATAACACAAGGTGGTAATCAAGGTAGAACCATGCTGGGAATCAACATGTATATGTGGCTGAGTCAAATTTTTTTTTTGTAGCTGTATTAAGTTACAGTCAGCGCCGTCTGTCTAACTCTCTGCATTAGCAGAGAGGAACCTGGACGAAGCTTTGCCGAAGGGCAAGGTTTCATTCGGGGAGGTTGACAGGCCTCGAACCTGCCTAGGCGGGTTCGTTGGCTATATTTTTGGCCGGGCATACAGGCTCGGATGACCCACAATAAACTTGGCCTTGTGCCACATTCAATCCCACGTGGGGGGATAGCTAAATATTGTGGCTGAGTCAGATATATTCATAGGAGAAAAATCAGCATGCATACATAGTCAAATGAAAGAGACACGTGGAGAAAGTCAACATGTGTAGTCAAGTGTGTTCGACTTGTGAGAGAAATATTCCCAAAATTATGACAATTTAGTAGTAAAAATTTAGTTTACGCTGCTACTAATTTAATCAATATCTGAAAGCATCACTGTTGATGGAAGCACCTTGGTGTCACTGCTGATGGCCTGGGAAGTACTAAGTTAAGCTGCCTGTGATAGATTAAACCAAGCTGGTATTAGTGTTGGAACCCTTTCTTCAGGGGCAAAATCATTGTTGACTATATAGTGGCTCAGAAACTGCTACTGTAAAAAAACGTGGGCTTTTCTGATTGGTTGGAAAAGATGTTTTATGATCCTGGTATTTTGGGGTAGTATTCTGGAAGTGGGAGCACAGAACTGGATGAAATTAAAATCTTTTGTCATATAAGCCATGGGTGCCAAAGTGAAAAAAACTCACCCATATGAAGTAGTTCCTATGATCAGTAGTTGTAGAGATTTCTGCAGGTATGATGTCTTATTTATTCTTTCACTTTTGTGATCAGCCAATGTCTACCCCATTCTTGTCCATGCTAGTAGACACAAAACATTGATAAATGAGGACCCAAACTCTGTTCATTCAGAGCTTGACTTGTGCAGTCTGGGTGGGTGACAGATGATCTCTTCCCTTTCATTTTCCCTCCTACCAACTCTCTGCCAATCTCAACATCATGATGTGTATCGTCAACATGAATAGTCAGCATCAAAGCTACCTAAGGAACAGTCTATCTCCTGCCAAAGGCAAACCAGAACTGATCTCTTCAATTCCAACTGTGACTTTTAATATAGACCAGCAACTGGAAATCATCTATGTCCAGCTTTCTTGTCACTTGATCCCAAATGCTTTCTTTCATTTATGTATTCATTGGTTTTTTTCAGTCAAGTGGATGCCACTTAGAAGATCTGACTTCAAAAACTTTATCCACAGCAACAATTGAGATCAAGATAAAATCTTACTTCCTACTCTATGTGGGTGTCCCAAGCATAGCGTCGTCCATGAACTGATGATGTTTCATATATTTCTAAGCTTAAAAATAAAATAAAATTTCAGCATTAAATGAGCCATAAGGAGTTGGCATGCTGTTAAACAAAAAAATCAAATCATATATTTCTTTTAACAATAGCATGGCTTGTTTGATTAACTCACACAATAATAGGTCATCATTTTTTATCCTCACTAGTAACACTACATTTATTATACTATGTAAACAGTGCCTTAGCACAATAGTTAGCAGGCTCATTTCAAATACTTGTACTTAATGTTAGATACATCTCATTCTCAGCTGCTTACGTTTTTCTTATCAGTTTGTAATCTTAGATACATCTTATTCTCAACTCCCCATATTTTTTGTTTTTATCAGCTTCTTGCAATAAAATGCTGATATTGTTTGTTCCCAGCCAGTGAATGCTTTTATTGCATGGCATCATTTTTCAAATAGAGGAAGCTTTGTGACTTATTCCTCTGTGATATCTTATCCAAAATCAGGAAGTTACTGCTTTGGGCATAGACATAGGAAGATAAGGATAGTGAAATAATAAAGAGCAGAGAGTTGGTTGAAGAATCATGGGAAATATTTACTCTTGGTAATAACAAAACATGTCTGTACTTTAAAAGTACATATATTTGTTTTTTTAACCTTTGACCCTTTCATGGAATCTCTAACCAAGGTTATCCCTATTCTATTAAATAGAAATATAACAAAATATAACAAAAATAATAATTAGATGAATGCCTCAATAAAAAAAATATATATAATTTATCTGTTGATTCAATGAGAATCATCCTGTAGTGGTCAGGTTTTATGAGGGCACAGATGGCTTTTTAGTGTCTCTGGTAATATGTTCTGGGAATGCTGGTGGCTGAGAGAGATCTAATGGCCTGCCTTTATTGTCCAGCTACAGTCATGCTGTTGACCTCACATGTCTTGGAGGCCTTACAGGACATTACATACCATTTTCCTTTCTCTAATGCTATTTATAATTGATGTTAAAGGCTGTCACTTATGTGTTCATCACTTTTTCTGGTCTCCTTGGGAGTATTTAAAGTGCACCAAAGAGTTTCTTTGTTAGCGAGTAATGTAAGATATGAACTCTCTCACCTGCTCTGCACAGCTATGACTACATCAGAATCATGTGGATTCTAGTTAGTTCAGCATGAGAGAACACTTCTGTGTTAGAAATCATTTCTTGCCATTTAATACCAAGAATATTTCTGTGGCTGGTATAGAAATGATTTAGCTTCCTTTCATAACATTGGTTGATAATCCATGATATACAGCTATAGAGTAATGAACCTTTTGTTCCACATAGTTGTAGAGTCTACTAAATATAGCACTAGCCTTGGTGTGTCTAGCATTCACCTTGCCATCAATGATGACAGTTTGGCAGGCCCCACATTAAGTTGCTACCTGTTAATGAAGATGTAGGGTACAATATATAACTTCCCTCGAATCATTGCTTTGCTCTTCTTTGCATTGATAATCAGGCCAAAGTTGTTACAGGCCTTAGATTACATTTCAACTCTGCACTGTGTATCAGTTCCTTTGGTAAAGTTAAGAAAAAGCACAGTTATTTGCAAACAGAAAGTCATTGATGTTGTCTGCTGAAACCATGGCTTTTACCTGAAGCTACCTGAGATCAAATATTAATTTATCAGTATGGCATCTGATCTCAATGCTGATGTATGTGTCAATAAATTTAAATGTAAACAGACATTTCTTTATCTGTTCCTTATACATTGTATGTTCGCAGTATTTACTACATTCAATTCAAGTTTTAGGTTAATAACATTAATATCTAAAATTCTCTCTGTTAAGGTTTTCATCTCCTCCTCCTCATAATTTTCTCTAAATTCTGTTTTGATTTGGAGTTATTTTTTTCTGTTTTCATTTTGAATTTGTAGGTCTGATGATTTGGATCGTTTTTACGATTCCAATGGAATAAATTATGACCATGGAATATTAGTGTTTAAGCCTTTTTATTATATCCTTACTCTGTCCTAGACATTGAGTTCTACCTGGATTCTTCCTCTTGGAAATTTTTTTTTTTCTGAAAATATACATGTATATGTATTTTTTTTTTTTTATATATATTTTGCATATGTATTTATATTTTCCACTAATATATATATATATATATATATATATATATATATATATATATATATATATATATAAAAGGCAGGTGTGTGTGTGTGTGTGTAACGAATGCATGGCCACAATTTTCGACAGATTGGCACCAAAATTTATATGCACATACTCCAAGTTAGCGGGAAGGCCAAGACCAACTTTGCATTTCCCAACTCCCATCGATAGTGGAAATAATTGATTTTTTAATGCTTCTATGGCAGTTTTCATGTAGTTTGCAGCCATTTTCTACTGGCCAGAGTAAGAGCCTATAGCTGGCTGCCATGAATAGGCAGGAAGATTCTATTGGCCAGCGTGAGAGCCAACAGCTGACTGACATGAATGTTAACTAGCATGCTAGCACGCAAAAAAAAATGATAGCTGCATTCGTCACAAGTGGGAAAAATTTAAATCTGCATGGCACTTTACTCCAATTGGCTCATTCGCTTGCTTAAACTCAACGTTGATTCTGTTTCCACAGAACTGGGTT